TGTAAGACTTCAAGGATCGATTCCCGAGTGAGGCGGATATTCGAAGCCAGCTAGGTAGCTAGGTCGAATAAGCTGCACTTCGGAAAGTAATTTTAGTGGATTGCTGCGCTGATCGGTAATTTTTCGTGTTTCTTCCGATCAATACCAAGCGAATGTCAGAGCAGTATTCCAATAATCGGGTCTCATATCTTCCTCTCCTCATCCTCGTCCCCAGTTCTGCACATAAATATACACACTTACTTTCATGCAGTACACTTTCGCACGTCGGGAGATGAGTCAGGAGCTTCGGGCTTGTACCGGCTGGGGCGGTGATCCTCTGGCGGAGATTCCCAGAGGGGTAAAACACCGCAATATGAATCTGAGGCAGAAGTCGGATCTGTCGTTCTGGCGAGGAAGAAACATTACTACCTCGTGCGATGTAGCAGGTACTGACGGGTCTAATGACAAAAACAGTTGACGCGTCCAGAAATAAATGTATCAGTGAAATGAATGGGGAACAATCGATGTTTCTGGAATGTAACGAAAATTCAATTTATTTTAAATGACGACGAAAAATGCAAGTAACTGAATTAGTTCTTTTATATTAACTTAAGCAAAAATGGCAAGAAGGGAGAGGATTGGATCACTACTCTTCTGAATCTTGTTCCCTAATATAAACTTTTCTATTCATATCTGCATCAAGTTTATTGATAATTTGAGTATCTGTTTTTCAGCCCCTGGTTTGGCAAGGTTTGGTGAACAGCTCTTAACATCGGTATTAAAGCTGGAAAATCGTAGGTGAATTGTCTGGCAATTGTTACATTACATTAATTACCTTTCGTTCTGTCAAAGAAACTTTGGAGTTGATCTTTATTTTTAATGGGTAATGAACATTTGAAGATTCTTAGATTGTTTTAATATTGAACCACGACTGATCGTCAAAATTTTCAGAAGGGGTTTTAGCTTTTTCTAATTTTTGGGAGGTTGTTTCTTTGTATTTTCTTTAGTTTCGGGAGATTTTTCATCCATGTCAGAGGTTTTCGAGTTACTGTCTGGGTGTTCATTCTCGCTATCTGATTGGCTGCTAATCCGTTCTGTATTCGAGCTAACTGCCTCTCTAATCTGACGGGGTTGCAGGACAGGTCAACGTCCATTTTTTTTGTTTTTTGTTGTTTTTTCGGCGCAAGTTTTCTTGGTCTACGCAAAGGCAGAGGTGGTGAGTAGTGGGAGGAAGCTGTCTAGGGCAAGGTTAAAGCTACAATTTTCGTTCACCTTATCGCTTTCGGGAAGTGTAGGTTCAAATACTTTGGGTGAAACATTAGAAGTAACAATAATCGGATTAGTTGATTCTGTCATTTCTACTTCCGTTGGAAGAAGGTTAATTAGTATTGGGAGTTATATGGATTTGGGCAGGTTTTAGCTATGTGGTCTTGATTTTTACACAAAAAAATAGGAACATCAGAAATTACATACATCGAATGGGGGACATCATCTTTAAAGACTTGAAATGATTCAGGTAATTTATGTTCAACATCCGGTGAAACAAAACGGGCGAAAACTGCGGCGAAAATTGAGGATGTGGCTCAAGTTGGGGTTATTAAATCCAGCAGGAAGGAAAGTTTACGGAACCAGTTATAACACCGAAAGTTAATAATTTCTCTTCAGTCAATTTATATCGGATACTATGACAAATATTTTAGGGGATCATTATTTTGTTGCGAGAAATTAATGGTCTTATTGGGAAAACTCGATTAGACACAACGGTGCTCTTATGATTGAAGACTAGATCATCTGCGATTTCCTTGCTGGATAGATAAGCACACAGTCTGTTGTTCGATATTTTCGAAGCAAAATTAATATGAGAGGTGTTAACTTGAGTAGATAAGTTTTCAATGAATTCTACAATTGGCGCACTATTTGCCGAGTCTATGATTACAGCATTTTCTTTCTTGGCAAAGAGAGATTGCATAAGAACTTTAGCGCAGCTGTTCCGTTCTCCTGAAGATTGATGAACTTGTGATGACTTTATTGTGGTCACGAAAAAAAACCTTTTCACTAAGTTAAACAATATCACTGCATTTAACAATAACTCCACTTCTACCACGTTTTATTTGTGACTGACAATCTCCGAGTAAGTGAACGCCCGCACACCGTGATTTTGCTCGGAGCGGACCAGACTGCGCGTCTGACGGCGTCAGACCGCGTCAGACGGCGATCAGGTCGCGAATTTCTTTATGCAGAGAAAAGCAAATGAAAGGAAGGGAATTAGGTATACGTATGTTTACGTTTCAAAATTTAACACCATTGACCTTCTTACCAGTCTTTCCAGAATGGCGTAGTACAGCTCTTCAGCATTAACAGTAATCACATGACATAACATTGAAAGGAAGTGTAAAACATTGAGGATACGTTTAGAAACAAAATCAGATATATTGAGTTCGTGTTTAACAGTAATATATTTGAGCCATTTGAGGTAGTATTTTCTGGAAACAAATCTGTAGCCAGTCAGTGTCATGCTACCAGTAATGATTTATTTTAAGAATACTTATGCTTAAACTTTCAAAACTAGCCATCCATCATTCACAAGAGCAAGTTTCTTAGTTATAAGTAGTCGTCACCCGAGCGCTGGCAACCCTGCGTAAGATGCCCTTCTCTCAAATCAGATTCAGATAAGAATGGTGACACCTCAGCAGGTATAGCCGCACCTTCCGAGGAAAATGAGAGAATCTGCGAGTCGCATCAGAGTAGTCTTTGGAAGTCAACAACTGGAGGTACTCATGTAGCTTCAGCCCATAATATGTCGTGTTTTAAAAAGACGTCTACACATGAAGCCGTGCAGACCTGCTTCTAGATCTGGCACTTACACGGACGTGATGTCAGTTCGAAGCGGATAGAATTCTGTAAAGCGATACTAAACATTACGGACGATGAATGTGTCCTATCAAATGTGTGACATCCAGAACGCTTTGCTGGTGACTTTCAGAACTTCGAAACTCACTCTTTTGAATGACACATACTCCTGTCGAGAAGTTGCTTGACAACTGACAAATAGGGTTTTATTTTTAATAACACATTACTTTATAATTGTTTTAAATTAGCAGTATTTTCAGGGATGAAGCATCAGTAATTTGTACAGTGAATACGTTGGATTAAAAATGAAAGGTTATAACATTTTTATTCGAAAGCATTTAACTAAATATTGAGTGCCATAGCGAGAAAATGCGGGTGTCTCCAAAAATAAATTAATGAAATTTTAAGCAACAGAAAAATTATGGGGAAATAATATTGAGAACAAGGTCAGAGGTTGTTCAAAGGTTTTAGAATAAAACTGATCAAACTTGCCAATTTTATCGACGACTGTTGATGCGAATTATTTTACATTTGTTCATAATTTTTTTTTTCTGAAGGGAAACTATATTTCAAATAAAATCTATACTTGAACAACAGCTTTCCCAGTATTCTTTCCCCTGAGCATTTCGATGAAGGCCACGGGCATGTGATCGAAGCCCTTGGTGATGGTTTCCTCATATTTGAGCTTTCCGGCGCGGATCCACTTCAAGTTTTGCGTGATTCCTTCCATCCATCGGTCGCTCCACCTCGTGACAAGGAACCCCTCCATCCGGATCTCCTTTCCGACTAGTAAGAGCTGAACGAGTGGGGCCTTCGGGTAGTTGGCCGGATCGGCGTTATACGAGGAGATGCTGCCGCAAACGGACACGCGACCCCGGTGGTTCATGTGAGTCAACACCACAGCGCTGATGTCGCCGCCCACGTTGTCGAAGTAGCAGTCCACGCCGTTCGGTGCCGCCTCCTTCAGCGCTTCGTCGATGTTTTTCGTCTTGTAGTTGAAGGCCGCGTCGAAGCCCAGGTCTTTCTTGAGCCACTTGACTTTGTCGTCGGTGCCTGCGAAGCCGATGACGCGGCAGCCCTTGATTTTGGCTATTTGTCCTACAAGGGAACCCACAGCGCCCGCCGCGCCGCTCACGACCACCTGTAAGGAAATTACTGTGTATTGGGAATTGCACATATTTGTCTATTACATCGATCCAACTGATGCTAAATTTTTCAAGTGCCAGTGGATTAGAAAATTCACTATAATTATAACTAACTTAACCCCTACGATTACATCGCTCAAAATAATGGATAAATGTTACAATTTTAATGACCAGCATATGCATTATACGGAAACTCAAAAGTGTCATAATATTGTGTTTTGTTCAGTTCTTATTTTCCAAGACTAATACAATGAGAGAGGTTTACAAATCTGGAACAATACAATTACTATTCACTGTGAACATTGTGTTAAACACGTTTCTGAAAATGCTAGAGAACTGTTTAACATTTACCTAGATCTGAACTTCTATGTTGCAGCAGACTTCAGCATAAATTCTGTTATCCACCTCCACTTACAAACATAATATCTAAAAAAGGTTTGTAAAGGAACACAAGTCAGACGATTGCGTTTAAATATATTGACTTTTTAATCATCAAACTCAAAAATCTCTATATCTTCGCTTCACTAAGTATAATCTCATGAAATGTGGATTGCATCTGATAGATCAATAGCAATTAGCACAACTAGTTGCCAGGGCCAACTACATTCCAAGTATCTAACATAGTTTGTCTTTACAACAAAATGTGGCATATTTGCGATCATTCTATTAATTTCAAGATATTATGAAAATTAATGGTTATACAATACTTGATAATGAGAGAAAATGATAATACATTGAGGGTCCAATACTATTCATTTAAAGCAACGGTCACGAAATTTGATAGAACAAAAATTTTTTTTTTTCTAAACGAAAAAACCTAGTGTACTCGTATAGATATAATGTAAGACATTTACTTTGGCAGCGAATCAAAAGCATTACGTGAAACGAAGATATTCATTTTCACATTGAATTGTCTTCATTGTTCTGTAGATTAAATTACTTGATAGGGGATATGTACGTATGTAAATTCACTGGTTAGGCGGAAGAGAGATCATGTGGCCTGAGCCTGCGGAATTAATAAAGACTTTAATAATATATAATAATAATAATAATAATAATAATAATAATAATAATAATAATAATAATAATAATAATAATAATATTCCGTATCTCTCACGTCCAACTCAATTTAGAGTATTATACACTAAAAAATGTTAATTAAAAACATAACTGAAATAAAATGAACGAGCACTTTCTTTAATTTCAAAAGTGCGGCATTTTTGTTGGTGCTCTGTTGACCCACCGTGTCTCCCTCCTTGGGCTTGCAGAGCTCCAGGAAGCCGAAGTAGGCCGTGTTGCCGGGCATGCCCAGCACCCCCAGGCCGAGCGACCGGCGACAGCTTCCCGATGTCCGGCAGCTTGTACACGGGCATCGCCGCGCCCTCGTGCACCTTCTTGGCGTCGAAGACGGTGTGCGAGCGCCAGCCGAAGGCCGCCACCACGTGCTCGCCCACTTGTACTCCGGGGACTTGGACTCCAGCACGCGCGCCACCTGCCCGCCGATCATGGTGTCCCCGGGCGGGCGCCGCAGCACGTACACGCGCCTGGAACCAGAGCGTTGGCAGCTCAGCAGCTCACCCCAAGGTACGAATCCCCTCCAAACATTATATTTCAAAAAGGGAAAGTATTCACATGCACCCTTCGCATTCAACGGTTTTCGGGTACCATTTAACGTAACTGGTGATATGATGATAAGGGAGAAAACTTTTATGCTCTAAAAATATCTTGAAATTGCTATTAATATATGCATTTGTGACCTAAAAGTTCTTAAAAATGCACTTCAATATGCAATTAAAATAAGCAATATTTCATTTCCCCTGTATACCTTTTTAATACAATACAAGAGAAGCATGCATGAAATGAAAATATAAATTTTTGGCAAATGCCATATAACCCAACTTCGCAAGAGAAATTGAAGTAAAAATCCACCTTAGTGGAGTTCTTTTTATGTCTTGCTGTATTTCTTCTGATTGATATAAAAAAATGTTAACAAGAAATATTCTACATTAGCATCACTATTTTATCACATATAAAAAAAAGAACACAAAATTGAACAAGCTCTTTCGAATCAATGAACGTTCACAAATAAATAGTTTCTTCGAAAAAATGAAACATTTGATAAATAAGTCTCTATTTTAACGAAATATGCAAATTATGCGCCTATAATTTCACGAATATGCACCAACAGGTGAAATCGGTCAAACTTGCACTAAAATATTAATCCATATAGCATCAAATTTTAAACAAATGTGAACAAATTTCTCGTATATATGCACTGAAGCAACGGACAAAAATATGCAAAAGCATAGAAATCCTCTCCCTAGTGATGATATTTGTCGAAAGTGTTAATAACGAAAATAAAGGCATAAGCCCGTCCAGAAAAGAGCAAAAGAACGAATTACTGGTTACAGATGTCAATTTCATAATACATTTTTTTCAATTAATAACAAATATTACTTGAAAATACCTATATTAATTTACCTAAAAACTGGGATATATTAGAAACAAGAACTAAAAGTTTCGTTTGTTAACTGTTGCCAATATATATTTTGTGGTTCCAATATAGATGTTGTATTTAGTCTTAAATTATTCATTATAATTTGTTATATTCAGTGAACTCCTCAATTATGTGACTACGTATACCAAAGTTCAATTGTAGTGCTGACGTTGAAAAGGAAAATGCTTGTGAGTCTATAATGAATTTCAATATTCAGTAAGGGAATTTATTTCACATTTATTTTAATATTCACAAAATATGGCCCCCTTTTAAAAAGATATATTTAGTAGCAATATGTAGTAACATATAGTAAGTAATATAGTAGCCACAAATGCGATTTAAATTAATACATTTATATTTGTAGCCAGAATTTTAATTTAACAAGTTGGAACATTTCGGCTTATCTAGGGATTATGATTTTCATTCTAGGTTACTTTTCAGTCCATTCATAAATCGTAATGTAAAATAATAATACTAACATGTATGGATCAACGCTAAGAAACTCTGTTCGACCAAAAACTTCTCCTATCCTTAGTTCTGGCATTCTTCTGTGATTAGTTGAGTCTGTTGTTTTCGCTCTCCTTGGAAGCTGACGACAAAACGAATTTCTGAGCACGCACCATTTTGCGGAGTGATTGCCGAAAACTATGAACCGTTAGTATCTGTCACCTGTTTTTATGAACTGGCACAACTACATCACATTCAATATGTGCTATCTTTAAGGCTGCTGTGTCATTGCAGTGTCACTGTGATTATCTCATTAGATAACTCCGAGAAAGTTCAACAGTTTTGTAAAGCGATTTCATTACAAGTACATTTATTTCGATTAAGAATTTGTAATTATGAATTTTACTGCTTAAATTATATCTGTGGGGAGTCTTAACGTGGTTCACAGTGATGAAATATTTTCGTCTTGTTCCGGACAATGATGAAGTATATAGTACCTATTGGGAAATTATCAGGAAACAATGCATTTGATACTACATCGTATTATGTTATAAAAATAAACAATTTATATAAAGAAAATAGAGACTGAGGGGTGGTTATACGGTCAGCTTCACGGCTCCCTCTGTGAAGGCCTCATGCCACACCAGTTGGGAAACAGTAATCTAAGACGTTTTATACAAGAATATATTCGGTAATTTTAATACATTAAGAAAAGCGTGAAAATATTTAATTTTGTTTAAATTTTCAAGAACATTAAAAATGAAAATTTTCTCACTAGTTCACTTTTGATCTACAAAAGTATAACCTATTCTCAAGTCTATTATCGCAGTTACGTTTATTTCATCGAGTTTCTGCGTTTCTCTTAGTTTACTGGTTAATCATATTAAATTCTGATGTATTCTTATTTTGTCGCCGAATAGGATGTCCATCCACGCTAAAATTTGAAGTTTCTCTTCAGAGATTTCCATCTTCTCTTACAGCTCAAGAAATTCTTGCGCTCCATTATCATAGTGACGCTTTGTTACGGGTGACTGCCAGACGTTGGTATGGGCGTGTTCGAGGAGGTTGGGTTCTCCAACACACGGACAGAAATGTTGATCTACGGTAAGACAAAGTTATTATTTGTGAAAGTGATAATGTAGAAAAATGGTGCAAAAAGTGCTGAATACTTGACAATGATTTTTTTTCGTTAAGTTTCTTTTTGTTGACGAAAAAGTAAAACTTGCATTACGCATGCGCCTCATTTTGGGTATTGGATGTGTATTTAAACAAACTATTTTGAGAACTATTTTTCCATAAATGTTGATTGTATAATTGTTTGAAAGGTATGGTTGCCAAAAATGCTCTTAATACTTACAGTACCTTGCGTATTACGCAAAGAAATGTGGACCAAACATGAATTTCCAAATGTAGAAGATAACTTACCACTCACAAATGTCAGTTATCTTTCGTATTCGAGTAGATTCAAATGACCAAAATGTTCAAACGATAGTATTGAGACAGATGCGAAGGCATTATTATGCATCAGCTACAATCCGACATACTAGATAATTGGAATTTCTCAAATGGGTAGCTACGTAAAGTTAGAGAGAATGGTAGATAACAAATTGCTTATGACGTTTGATTTGCAATGTTGAAATTAAAAAATTCTATTTCCTCTAATTCTATTCTAATTAAATGCTGAATTAGTATATTGTAGTCACACTGACTTCCAGAAATTTGTAACATCTTTAGAGATGTGATGTGACTAAACGTGTGTAACCTTGTATTAATTATTCACACAATTTTGACATTCAGACTCAATTCAAATCGCGCTGCATCTATATTTTTCAGATTCTATTGGAATTTTTTCTTATTTTTACAATAAAAGAATGTTTCGCTTAAGTCTATATTCTTTTTCCGCTGAGGTCCTCCTGCAAAAGCCTCTTGGGGTACAAGTCATTTAGTTATAAAAGTAGTAAACAGTTCATTATATTTAGCAATGAAAAATAGTTTTATCAAAACATTTTTATTATTGATTTACGATTAATTTTTGGCAGCAAATTATGATTTACACAAACAGTGCAAAACGGATTCAATATCATTTGCTAAGTAATGTGTAGCGTAATACTGTCTGTTCGAACACATAAGTTGCACAAAGTTGGCAAGAGGGGGGTCATGAACACTAACAGTCAAACGGCATCCTCAAACTTGCACCACAGCTTTGCCAGTGTTATCTCCCCGCAGCATCCCTACAAGGGCGGACGGCATGTTCTCGAAGCCTTTCGTGACGGTCTCCTCGTACTTGAGCTTCCCGTCTTGAATCCACTTGAGGTTCTGCAGGATGCCCTCCCCCCACCGGTCGTTCCAGCGCGTGACGAGGAAGCCCTCTATCTTGAGTTCGTTGGTGACGACTGCCGGCTGGATGATGGTGGCCTTGGGCAAGCCGTCGGCGTTGTAGGAGGAGATGCTGCCGCACACAGCCACGCGCCCGCCGTAGTTCATGCGGTTGATGACGCTGCTGCTGAGCTCGCCGCCCACGTTGTCGAAGTAGCAGTCCACGCCCTTGGGCGCCCCGTCCTTGAGGGCGTCGCGCGGCCGCGTCGTCTTGTAGTTGTAGGCCGCGTCGAAGCCCAGCTGCTCCGTCAGCCACTTGATCTTGTCGTCGGAGCCCGCGAACCCGATGACGCGGCAGCCCTTGATTTTGGCGATCTGGCCCACGATGGAGCCAACCGCTCCGGCCGCTCCGCTCACAACTACCTGAAGCCAAATGAGCGAGTTAATTGGGAAGAATTGTCGACTCTGTGTACTTGATAGAGCTGATTTTAGTAGTTTATTTCAGAATTCATGAGTCATGTGACTAATGTGCCCAAAGTTACTTAATGTTAGGGGTAAAATAGATACTCGTACGTCCGTACGTATCAACTCTTAAAATTTAATTTATCGTACTTACTTTAACATTAATAACCATCTTTTCACTATCGGCATTAAGGTTTAGTCTAAGCCTTATCCAAGGAGATAGACGCCCCCCCCCTGTTGGCCAATACGTTTCTTGCGATTATCTGATATAAAACAATGTGACAGAAGGCAAACTAATATCAAGAGGAGTAACTTAAAAAATGTTCGATGAAGATACATATCTACACATTACTAAAATTCGTAATACATATAATTTATTGTGAAATTTTCCAAGACTAAGTCGCAGTTTCCTTAATATATGGTTATCAGTTTAAAATTTATTAATTATTAGATTCTCTTCTTAAGTAATGAATGGATTTGACTGTTCACGAAACGATAAATGGAACAAAATTGTGCAGTCAAAATTTCGGCGTATTTAACTGCTAATAAATACAATATCAAAGTTATCAAGTCTCTCGTATAGCAATTAAGTCGATAACAGAATTCCATCATTAAAATATGCGTTAATCAACAGATCGATAAGAGACTGAAACAAATAATTACATAAACTTCCTTTTCAATATCAACACATTTTAGTTCTCTAGAAATACTGATACATTTTGTTGCTGGAGTCAATGCCCGGTATATTTAATTTTTCTACATCCAGCGTGAGATAGTGGTGAAGTAGGAAACGGCATTATTCCTCACCGTTTCTCCCTTGACGGGCCGGCACACCTCCAGGAGCCCGAAGTAAGCGGTGTTGCCGGGCATGCCGAGCACGCCCAGGCCCAGGGACGGGGAGAGCCCGCCGATGTCGGGGAGCTTGTAGGTGCGCATGAGCGTGTGCTCGTGGGCTTCGGGGTTGAAGACGGTGTGCGTGCGCCAGCCGAAGTCCCCCACCACGTGGTCGCCCACTTTGTAGTCTGGAGACTTTGACTCCAGCACGCGCGCCACCTGCCCGCCGATCATCGTGCCTCCGGGCGGCCGTCGCAGGACGTAAACTCGCCTGCAAATTAAAAAAAATAAGGTAGTAGTTCACTTTTTTTTGCAATTTAACCCTACAGTAGTCTCGTAATATTTGAAATTTAGGTAATCACAGCGGAGTGAGTCCATACGTAGTCGATTCTGAATACACACTATGTGATCAAAAGTATCCGGACTCGTCGAAAATGGTGTTACCGTGTGGTCATGTTTTTCATGGAGGTGGCTTGCACTACTTGTTTTGTGTGGTACTATCACGGCACAGATCTACGTTGATGTTTTAAACACCTTCTTGCTTCCCACTGTTGAAGAGTAATTCGAGCTTGGAGATTGCATCTTTCAACATGATCGCGCACCTGTTCATACTGCACGGCCTGTTGTGAAGTGGTTACACGACAGTAACATCCCTGTAATGGACTGGCCTGAACAGAGTACAGACTTGACTCCTAGCTAACACCTTGGGAGGTTTTGAAACGCAGACTTCATTCAAGGCCTCACCCTGATCTACATCGATACCTCTCCTCAATACAGCACTCCGTGAAAAATGGGCTGCCAGTTCCCATAAAACCCTCCTGATTGAAAGTATGCCTGCGATAGTGGACGCTGTCATCAAGGCTAGGAGGTCGCCACGATTTAGTAAGTCATTTTCAGCCACGTGTCCGGTTACGTTTGCTCACATAGTATAGGTAAATAGATCTTTAAACTTATAAAATCTACTTATAAAAGGTTCTGTAGTTTTAAACCTATTTTAATAAGCAAATAACAATGGAAGACCAATTCTGTCACGTGCATGTGCTGGAGAAATGTTTGCAAGTTTATAAAATATTTACGCGAATTTTTCAACTAAAATTTTTAACAAACTTGGCAATTAACATATTTCATTCAATTTACTCGCTTATACTTTCCCTTTCATTACATACCATTATGAGCACAATAACTAACGCCAGTACTCGCGCCGGACAAAGTCAAATTGCTTATACGTCAGCGTTTTAAAGGAAACTTACAGAAGATTATCACAATATACTGTTAAATAAAAGTAGGATTTCGCCTTAAATAAATGCATTTTTCTTCAATTATTCAATTGATTCTGGGGTCCGCAATTGCCGCCTCCCCCCTCATTGGATTTTTATATGTACATGAATGGCATTCCTGCTGTGGAATTCACAGTTCGCAGCCTGAAGTGTGCTCGGAATGCCAAATAGATTTGCTCTTAGGTTCTGTATTAGAGATTTTTTATAACACGTGTCGTAAAAACTAAAATGCATCCACCTTGTTAATTAAACACGAGATGTATAATCAAACTAAAAAAATGAGTCAGGAATGTCACTTGAGTCTAAGGTGGTAACGTCAATTACGTAATAAGCTGCAAAAAACACAAAAGTAACTTTAGTCATATATTCTTATCTGAGTTTGCAATATAGAAACGATGTGACTTCACTAGTATCGGGGTTTAGGTGTTTATCTACCTAAAACCGTGCATTAAGGAAATGTGGGTGAAAATAACCATCTGGACAACTAGTTACAGCACGTGATGATCAAAGTTCATTGTTTGCATTAAAAACCCTGTGAAACCCTGTGTTTTTTAACCATTAAGCTGTTTTCTTTTTCATTTCGGCATAATCTAATGAACGTTCTCTGCCCATTATTGTAGTCTTTCAGTTTTTAAGAGTTATTTAATGATGGTTATCGGACGACTTGTGGGAAAGGCAATAAATTACACAAATCCTGTACAAAGCTCTGTTTCTTGTAAACGAAAAGTTGGCATTTTCTTAATCAAATTGTATGGTCCTGAAAAGTTTCAAAAATGTTTTACACTCCATTTACGTCCTAGGTATTATTGTGGTCACCAATTGTGACTCTAGGGAACCATGTCAAAAGATTATTAGGAAAGTGCTTCAGTAACCAAATGTTAACTTTTACTTCTTTTTTCACCACGTACATGTACGGATCCAAACTAAGAAACTCAGCCTCCGCCAGAACTTCTCCATCTTTGATAGGCGGCAGCTCTTCCGTCACCAGGCTGAAGTCAGACGGCTTGGGTTCGCCCTTGAAATGACGAGCGAGGACGAATCGCTTGCAAAACACACCGGCCCCTGTAACACATGAACTGCTTTGAAACATTGTTTTAGCAAGTCTTACGCCACTTACACTTAGTATACAAAATGTGTACAAAATTATATAAAAGTTCAGTCTAGATCCAAAATAAGCGTTTATTCTGTCACCTCTGAGCCACCAAAAATTTAAGTGTACGAGCACAACAGTATTTCATACCGATTTATTGTAAATTAAGCGATAAATGCCGGTTTATTGCAATAGACTTTTTACGAATTCGTGTTTAGTTTCAAATATTTTCAAGCACATTATCACTAGACATCTTTTAGGACTTTTCTTAGTTTAATCACATAATAATTAATAGATGTTAGAGTTAAAGCACAAACTCTTTATATAATCTACACAAGAAATCTTTTTTTGCTGGGAATTTAGAGTAGTCGAGATAAGCCTACCTCTCTCTAAAAATAATATTATGTAATCTTTCAGTGACTGTGCAAAGTTGATCCGAAAATAAATCGAAGGATGTTACAAGGACGAACTACAGCAGCAGTTAAATATTTGAAGTAATAATACTACAAGTTTTTCAATGAAGAATAGTTGAATTACGAAGAAATATAAAGTAGTGTTATCTTGTGATTATGAGAAACTTCATTAAATTGCAGGCGGTATTAAAAGTTTCTTTGTATCAACACTTGGTGAATCTAATCAAAAACCCAGACTCATTTACGTCAAATTCTACAAACGTTTCTGTAAGACTTCGCACATCTCTCAAAATTTTTTTTTCTTATCTGTCACGGTGTCCTTCCATCGCATTTTGTAAAACTTCATTGGGCCCGTAGTATGGGGCGGGGTCCACGATCGTAACATCACAGTAGAAAATAGCTCAGGGACCGGGCAAGCGGCGCGCCGAGTCACTGTGACACGGGCAGAAGCGGCACGTAGCGGCAGAGGTCCTTTATCGCCCGCCCGCCCGTCCGCGCGCGCGCGCCGGGCGGCGCGGCCCTGGACTATGGCCCCGCGCGTCCTCCCCACCTTGCCACTCCAGCGGCTGGTCGTTTGCCCGAGGGCGTGGCTCGGGGGCTGGGCGCTTCTCGGCTTCTCGGCCGTCTGCGCACGTGCGCCCAATTCTCTAGCGGGCCCGTCGCCACGCATTTGGAGATTATTTTCAGATACGGCGTGAAACGGGTGACCACGGGAACTGTATCTGATGAAATGAAAAACCATATTTTTTTATACCAGTGGTTCTTCATAGAAGTAGTTCTGAACTGTGATCGGAGTGAGTGCTGCTGACACTACATTCACGGAATGCCACATTCGGTCGTGCGTTTGGTTGGCTACAGCTACATCGTGTACATAATTTTAACACAGATTATTATTACCATTATTATTATTACCATTATTATTATTATTATATAATATTAATATTAATATTAATATTATTATACATATGATTACACATGCAGATCAGTGTTACCAGCATTATATTAAATCATGGAAATTTACAGTATGCAACATACATTGCTAGTACAGTTGTGAACAAATTCAAGTTATTATTCTAATTCTAGTCCAGTATCGTATTCCGCTCACTGGGGAATTCAGAAGGGGGCATGGAGGCAACGTCCTCCCTCAAACTGCTAGTTTCATTTTACTTTCCTTTATTTGGTAAAGTTGATTTAAATATTTATTTATGTTCGAATTATGCACTTATTTGAACAACAGTATTGTATAGTGTCATATCTACTGTATATCAATAATATACAATATAATAATGAATTAATATTTAACAAAGATTATGATGCATCCCCCCCCCCAGAATGATCGGCTGGATCCGCCCGTTTCCGCTACAACTATCGGAACGTCTGAGTTCGCACAAGCCCAGAGTTTTGGAATTGAAAATCTTCAGTATTCGATGCGGTGCTTCACAAAATGCAGAAATTTTGCTTTCGAAAACCAGCGTTTGCAATGTGTCGCGGCGTATCTCTAGACTTTCAATCCGAAATAAGAACCTATCCGTGCTAAACTTGAGGAAATATCTATCGTATCGTAATAGATTGACAATTCTGTGAAAATACGAGTGCATTTCTCCACTTCCTTACATGATTAATGAACACACTGATGGTTTTTAATGGAAGTGTTTTGTTGTTCTTTCTAGACAGAGGTGTAGATGAACAGATAGAAAATTTTCAAACACCCCCTATAAGACATCGATAATTAAATAAAAATGTGGCACTCATTTTGTAGTTAATTACGAAATTTGTAAGAGTACATTTTCAAATGTAAATAGCTTCTAAATATTACTTGTAAGTCAACTTTAACAAGACAGTGCCGCTAAGCGTAAAACCACATGTATTGCCACTGTAATGGTATGTGTTAGAAAATGTATATACGAATATACTGTATATGTGAATATGCCAACTATTTGCAAACAACGCTATCCTGTACATATAGTGACAGTGTTCTTTCGTGCCCGCTTATAAAAATGCAAAAAATAAATTAAATAAAGTGAAATTATTTATTTTAAGGCACATGCATCTTAGCATCTTAACATCCTTCCAATGGCAATGTTCGATGGATACCAATGGGGAGGGATGGAAACAAAACAACCACATGCAGCGTGACTCAGGAGTCGTGACTCTTGAATTTAGCCATTCCTGGAACGTTCGACCAGATGTTAGAATGAGCAGACACTCAAAATTGCGCCAGGACGAAGTGACTGCTGTCTCACAACCCCTTTGTGCCGTTCTATGGACTGCCGTTGACATATGCGACAATACCTTCGTCACAACAATACGAGAGGACAGCACAAGAATGTGGTGACTGTCACAATAAGACGACCAAAAGAAAAACGCGGCGACAATTGAAATAATCTGTTTTATAGACCTCGTTCTTCAAGAATTCTTCGTAGCTAAGTAGAAAAGCATAAGAGGTAGCAGGCTTTTATTGCATGGAGTTTCCAGTTATGTCATGACGAGAAACCTGACTCTTGAATTGCATGCGTCGTTGTATGTTGAAATAAAAGGATTGCGTGAAGTACATACATAAACAACAATAGCATGAATACAAAGGAGAGTAAAAAGCAGTTTCTTTTTGCTTGTATGCTTGCTTTTTTGTCCGTTTTTATTCAAGGACGATGCAAGTAGTTTTAACTCCTTTGAAATAATGCGACGGTCGTGACGAACATTTCATTACTCTTGACCACGTTGAAAACTAGGGTGACCTTGACATCGCAATGGATATCAAAACTAACTTAGCACGAATTAGGTAATTCTTTTTAAAGCGTGTAACTACAGTTAAATGTTATTATTTCAGCAGTATATTCTACAAGGCGCTTCAATGTTCTTTTGGAAATCCTGATTGTATAATGGAATTGTTCATATGAGATACATGGGTAGCAATATCAGACAATTTAGTTTCCAAAATCTGATGAAATGTCGTCCGTGATCTGGAGCAAAGTAGATCTCGAAAAATATTTGCTTGAGGATTAAATATGCGCTAGTATGTGCAGAGAATATGTGGCTAAGTTACAATTACCTTACTCTTCAGAACATTAAATGTTCAAGAAACAAAGTAGAGTACTGAAAAGCAAGGAAATTTGACTTATCCACTTATTCACTGTGCGTATAAAAATAACCACATATGTAAGTCACATAACGAAGTTTAACATCGTTCATTTTCTCACTGAATTATAATAGACATTTCGACCTTAACTTATAATCTGATTTTTGAAACGCGCAGTTCTAGCAGTATCTGAGATAGCAAACCCACGACCAACGAAGGTTACAGATGCCAAACATTACCTGCACCCTGGGAGTCCACCCCACTGGCAAGATGGCGGCGCTGTAGCAGCGTGGCGGCGGCCGCCACCAGCGACGCCGGCGAGCGCGGCAGGAAGCAGAGTGGAAGTCGGAGCGCCATAGCTGCTCGTCGCCGCTCGTATGAGACTAACAGCCACAGACCTGTCTGCCCGCCCGTCCGTCCGCTCGCGTCTACGCTGTTTCGTAGCAGCGTCACTGCGCCGCCACCTCCTTCGCCAGACGGTTTGTTTGGCTGGCGGCCAGCCACTTATCACTTGCGCTTGTAAATAGCGTGCTGCTATCTCGCGAGCGACGCGATGTGGCGTGCCGTCGGGCGCGGTGAGGGGCGGGGCGGAGCGTTGCCGGAGGTGGTTATTCAACGCGCCGCCAGAGGCGATGTTGTCGCTGTTTGAACGACCCGTTCGCGGCCCGGAAGGAAACTCGGAGGCTCGAGAGAAATCATAGCTCTTGTGCCTATATGAATATGAATGGCAAATGAACTTCTTTACGAAATGTTTCGTAAATGATATTTACAAATTATTTTTTGGTGAGAAAAAGACAGCATATATATTTTACAAAGTATTACCAGAATTACATGTATATCGTGGCGCATCGGGCTGTTATTTTTAGGAAAAATTTTCATTTGTGCTAGTATACAAGTTCATACTAAAAATAAATTTGAATATATACCCTTGATCATTCATCCTCGAGGATAGAAAGTTACATGGAAAAGTGTGGATGGTATTTTATTTTTTAAAATTTTGTTTCATTTAAAATTTAGTTTAAATTATCGTCAATCTAGATTAAACAACATGATAATTAAACAAATATACTTATCCAGCATAATATGAATAGTTAGGTTCAGGCGTTCACGACCGGTAGCATAGTAATTATACAGTATTTCAACATTCTAGTTTCCTAACCCCCACTCTCCTCCCCCCCCCAAAAAAAAACCAAAAAAAAAACTGAAATATATTTCTAAACAGTCAATTTCCCACCAGCTTCCAATGATAAGAAACCTACATTTGCCGAAATATATCAAATTTGGCTCGAAATACTCGAAAAAACTTAGCTCGAAATGGATCAGATTTAACCGTAACGAACGGTCATTGTTTATATCATTTCGGAGCAAAATAGGGATACATTAGAATTTAATATGATAAACTAATGAACAAAAAGGAACGAGGAAACTTGATAACATAAATTAGTATTTTCCCGATAGGAGATTTCTGGTTAGGTTATTCTGTTGTTCATCCCAAGATAGCTAGTTTTACTTTCTTAATTTTCGTTTTACACTCTCGTCAATGTCAGAATATACGAAGTAATATACGTAGTATAGAGAAAGTTATGTTAAGCTGCGGAAATTTTATTTCGAGATTTTAACGGAAATACACACGTTTTGGGGTTGCCTAATACCGAAAAATGTTTGTTTTTTTTTCTTTCATACGTCCATCCGTCTGTTCACCCGTCTATATGTTTCTATCAAGCAAAGTTCGAAAGAGATAAACGTATTTAGTATTTGCAATTAACAAAATCCTATAATAATTTCGACATTGTCATTCTGGTTATATTAATACACAATTTTATAAGCATACCTCATAAGAGGTAAAAAGAGGTTAACAAGTTAGAGATGGAATACGCATATACGTGCAATAATATGTGGATATTACAATGGTTTGTTAGTATTCTCCACAACTGTTGGTTGAGCGAATAACAATGTTTTGAGTTTTCCCTACAATCACAACCTAAGGTTCGTTGTACAGGTGACACAACACAGGTGAGCAGCCCATGGTTTGTCTTTATCACAAACCCGACAGGCAAAGTGTAAAAAATACGCAAGTTTTGTAACTTCATATAACTTCATTTTTTTCCCTTTGAAATTTGGGCGTAAATCTTTCACAACGGAAGTGATCGAGGTGATTCGCACACTTTCGATTAGAAATGACGATTTGCATTTTTATCGAAGTGATATAATTCTACAGATCATGTGTCGAATTTAACTTTATAAAACTACAGAACTATAATGTACTAATGTATTTGAGGCAACAAACCAAACACGAACTTTACGCGCACTGCAGGTACAGTTCCGCATGACATTGACTGATTCAATATGCCGCCCCAACAGTTGGTACTTGAATACTACTTGCGATAAAGTAAGAGGCTAAATTAATTCCTTTCGATGACTGAAGCGCAGTAGGAAATAAGAAAGTTCACGTGACGTGTTTTCAAAACATCCACTAATACCTATAAGACCACTAAGAACTACTGGTAATTGCGCAAAATTTCCAGCCATAAGAATAAAAACGGCAAACTTCGAATACAGAAGGTAAAAAAAAAAACACGAAAGCTTAACTTTGTTGATATCTCATGGAAGTGGCATAAATGACTTGACCAAATATTTTATTTTTAAATAGGTTTTATGAGTATTGATTCTACATATCTTACAAGTGAAATTTACATGTATTTGCATTAATAGAAACTACAGTATCATACGGTATAAAGACAAGGTATATTTAAAAATTGTGACGCGATATGACGTTTTTATTGCGATATTCGTAATATACGAATAAAATTGGGTATGTGGCGCACTTTACCTGGAAGTAAAAGGAAGTAGTGGAAGTAAAAGTCTTGTTTCCTAGCGTAATATAACGAAAATAATAATGTTAAAATACTGTGATACGCAATTACGGCAACAAGATAAAAACCTATTATTAGTCAATTAGTATGGCACTTGTGTTCCACGGGTTGGGATTAGTGTGTTGCGAAGTAGAAAAACTTCAGGAACGCTGTGTAAGGTACTTAAAGAAATTCGTTTTCTATTTAATGGCCCATTTCCTTAATTTCTTCAAAATATCGGTAACATAAAAAAAGCGACATATTAAAATTCAAGTCTTGCAGAAAGGAAGGTGTGTTAACCTCTTAAAGTTTTTTATTGTTTGCTGATGACGCTTATCTCAGGTAAAGGCAAACCCCATTATCGCTCTTGTTTGCTCAGAATGCATGTTTTTCTCAGATAACTGCATTAATTTGTTGCAGAATACAAACTAATTACGTGGATGTTGCAAGTACAAATTCAAAAGACGATTGTTGTGGTGAAAATTTTGTATGGCATTTTCTAGCACACGTATTATACATGTAGCATTTTAATTGCTAGCAAGTACCAGAAGTATACATTTACACCTTTAAGTTCGTCGAGTGTTAAAAGCAAAATTTCCCCATTATGATAATACTCCATATGCGAATTGCAGAACTTCTTTCATATATATATCTATGCTATGCTTAACTGGTTAAACTTTGCATAATGCTAAGGATGTTCTTGTTCCGGTGCAGGAAATATATTGCATTTCTGGATGCAACACTTTACTGCTTTTATTTTCTTTTAATTAGCATGTGATACGTTGATCAATTATTCTGACACGAACGTCCAACATTCACTAAGAAAATAATTGCGTATAAAAACAATGCTGTCTTGGGTCACGTAAATCTTAATAATCCCGCCGCCGAGACCAACATCGGTTTCTCATGATCCGGTCGCGGGATTTTGCTTGTAGTGCAGAGCGCGACATAGTATTCAGACTGTATCTCCCCCACGGGTCTTCGCACACAAAACTCTTGGCAAACTGGTTCATCTCATTTGAAATATGCATTCTCTTTAGTTGTCGCGACGTGTTGAGAGTCCTCTGCTCTGCATTGCGAACGTCTCCGAGACGAGCAAACGTATCAAACAACTTGTTTCTGTTGGTGGAAGACGGGAGAAGGTGAATGGGGTTTGTTACAATGGGTTTGGATCAATAACAGATCACACTAACTACAGAAAGCCTCCCGGTATTCGTAAATATTAATAGTATTCCTGTATTAATTTAATAAAATATTTTTGTTGCTTTAGTTTCGTTTTCTAAACCTAAATAAGCATACATAATCTGCATTTCTTACAATTACTGCGCGGAATAGATAATATTAAAGTAAAATATAAAACCACAGCACTAAGAGTATTATTATTACACTGAAGAGCCAAAAAATTGGTACAACTATGCGTATTGAAATAAAGAGATTTGGAACCAATCAGAAAACGGCGTTCTGGTTGGCAACCACTATATAAGACAACCAAAGTGTGGCACAGTTGTTAAATTGGTTACTGCTGCTACAATGGCAGGTATTCACGATTTAAGTCAGTTAGAATGTGGTGTTGTAGTGTGGGCACAAGAGAGATGGGGTGTTGTTTCTCTTCGTGGTCGCGATGAAATTTGGATTTTTCCGTACGACCATTTCGCGAGTTAACCGTGAATATCGGGAATCCGGAAAAACACCAAACCTCTGGCATCGTTGCGGCTGCAAAAAGATCGTGCAAGACGACGGGATCGGCGACAACTGAGGAAAATCATTACACGTGACAGAAGTGCAACCCTTCCGCAAATTGCTGCAGATTTCAATGCTAGACCATCAACAAGTATCATCGTGCGAACCATTCAACGAGACATTATCGATACAGGTTTCGGAGCCGAAGGTCCATTCATGTGTCCTTAATGACGGCACGACACAAATCTTTACTCCTCGCCTGGGCCAGTCAACACCGACCTTGAAGTGTTGATGACTGAAAACACGTTACATAGTCTGACGGGTCTTGTTTCACATTGTTTCGAGAGGATTGACATGTACGAATATGGTGACAACCTCATGAATCCATGGACCCTGCATGTCAACAGGGGATGTGATGGTTGGTATGAGGCGTGTGCAGTTGGAGTGATATTAGACCCCTGATACGTCTAGACACGACTCTGACAGGTGACACGTCTGAACACCTCCACCCATTCATGTCCATTGTACATCCCGGCGGACTTGAGCAATTCCAAGAGGACAATGGGACAGCCTACACGTTCAGAATTGGTACAGAGTGACTCCAGGAAGATACTATTGAGTTTAAACAATTCTGCTGGCCACCAAAATCTCCAGACATGAACATTATTGAGCATATCTAGGATGCCTTCCAACGTGCTATTCAGAAGAGATCTCCACATCCCTCGTACTCTTACGAGTTTATGGACATCTCTGCAGGATTCATGGCGTCAATTACCTCCAACACTACTTCAGACATTAGTCGAGACCATGCCACGTTGTGTTGTGGCACTTCTCCGTGCTCGCGGGGGTCCTGTACGATATTAGGCAGGTGTATTAGTTTTTTGAGTCGATAACAATAAAAAGAAAGAAATACTGTTAAGGA